TTTTATATTTTACATTCACTTCTCATATTTTATCGACATTAATTGAAGGTAAAAAACTACTCCATGTTAAAACCATTGCAATTTCATTTTCTAATCTGCTATTATCAAAGTTCTCAATTCACTTTGAATCTACAAAATACATTGATATATGAACTACTTCATCTTCTACTATTTCTTCAATGAGTTTTGATATTTCTTAAAACAATACTTCTTTTTAACTTCTGTCATTTTGTCTAATATTTTTGAGGTATATAACAATACCATTTATTCAATACAATACACACATATTCACAAAAATCATAATTTGAGAAAATATTATTTATTATTTGAATCATTGTTTTAATACGTTGTGATAATCGAGGAATATTAACGTCTAATCAGATAACAATAGATTCCATTTCTTTTTGTTCTTTAATATGATCTACTATTTCTTTGTTTTGTTGTCTTTCTTTTTCTATACCATCATAATCATTAAATCAATGTGTGTCAATATCAAATACATAAGTTCTATCATATTCTCATTAAAACCCACTTGTTTCTTGTGTTATTATATTATTACTATCATTTACTTGAAATTTATTATTTTTAACGATGAAATTACTAAGTGAACTTTTACCATCATTTATATCTCCAATTAAAAGTAGTTGAACTTCTTGTATGTCTTCTTGTAAACTCATTATTTATTTTTTAGTTATAACTTCATTTTGTTTATTTCTTAAATGAAGTTTATCATTTTTATTTCAAATTTGATGTAAAAACAAATATTTTCAAATGGTTATATTTTATAATTTCTTCTTTCTTTAAATGATAGAAATTAACTTTTTATTTTATATTAATTCACATGGAAAATAATCTTTCCCAATACAAGAAATACAACAAATTTTAATGCTAAATGCAATGTTTAAAACATTAGGTATTGTAAAGAAAAACAAACAAAACATAGAAACCCAATGTCATACAATAAAAAAGAAATGTCAATGTCAATAAATTGCATAATAATAAAGGTAAATGATATACAAAGGAAAATAGGATTAGAAGATGAAAGATACAAAGAAAAACAAATAAGAAATAAGATAAATACAATAATAATAAAGATTACACAAATAACAAATACAAATGGCTAACAATAAAAGAGATACATGAAAGTAAAGAGATGGTATAATAACCACCAAGAAGTGTATTGAAACTAAATATAAAAATAAATAATTAAGTGTTAATAGTATTTTCATTTACTCTTCCTTGCTCATGTGAGATTAATTCTTTCATTCACTGTTATTAAAAATAAATAATTTCTTTATTTCATTTATTATTTAGATTTTCTTCTTGTTTTATGAATGAATCATTTTATTTTATTGTCTTTTTTATTTCTGTTTATTTCTTCTTTTTAATTTCTTATTTAATTGTTATTTTAATTTTGATTTATTATTTCTTTATTTCTTATTTAATAAATGAATATATCATTATTATTATTATATTATTATGTATAATTTCATTTATTATTAATATCATCATTTATATCTTTTTCTTTTATTATTATTCTTTCATATTATCTTATTTCATTATTTCTATTATTATTTATTATATTTCTTATTAAATTATTTCAGAATAATAATCAAATAATAACTGAGTGAATCAATGTTTGAATATGTATTAATATTTGTGTATTTCTGAAATACAAACTTCAAATATGAATGGGTTATTGTTAATAAACAAAAAAGTGAATTAAAATAGTTTGAAATATCATTAAATAATAAATAAAATGAAATAAACGTCATTCAACAAAAACAAAAATAAATATAAATACACTGAAATAATATTTAAATAAATAGGAACTAAAAAATAAATAATGAGTTTACAAGAAGGTGAACAAACAAAATTACTTTTAATTGGAGAAACAGGTGTTGGTAAAAGTTTACTTGGTAATTTCATTTTAAAGAAGAATGTTTTTAGAGTTAGTGATAGTACAATTTCAGAAACAAAAGAAGTTGCTAAATGTTTTGGAGAAGGAGATAGAAGTGATTTAGTTGTTATTGATACACCTGGTTTTCATGATACTGATTATTATAGATTTGATGAAAAACATATTCAAAATATTGTTGATTGTGTTAGAGCTGAAGGATTACAAGGAATTGTATTAACAATGAATTATAATACGTTTAAATTTACTGATAATCTTAAACGAGTTATTAAAATTATAAATGATGTTTTTCCAATAAAAGACAGTTGGAAACATGTTTGTATTGTTTGGACTAGATGTTTTTTTAATTATATCCCAGAAAAGAAAATTGAAAAAGGTAAAAAAGAAAAACAACAATTCAAAGAATATTTAATTTCATTTATAAAACAAATAAATGGAACAAATGAAGATATTGATATTCCAATGTA